TCAACTTCTGTTTCAATCCATGAAATACCGGTCGTTTACGGCCGCACTGGGATTTTGACAGCGCATTAACGGGTGGCCTTTTACGGCCGGATTGGGTTATCTTTGGTCAGAAATAAGCGGCCGTATATGGCCGCATTGGGGCGCAAAGGGTTAACAGAATACATCTGTACATGTAGGATTTGATGTTGATTACATATAACTAAATTAATAAATTTTACAAGTTGATGACCTATACCAAAGAGTTGATAGATTTAACAGGTTCATTACATATAATAGTTGATAAATGTTACAAGTAGATTACATATACTAAATATTGATATCAGAATACAATACATACCTCAAATGCTTTCTGTTTAGCAAATGTCCAGAACTGCTCAAAATGTTTCACTTTTTCATTAATAGCATCCACGATAATAAAATCAAAGAATCCATCTTCAATAGTCTTTTTGAAAGCTTTAAATAAACTAGCTCTGTAAGCATCTTCCATTTCAGATTCATACTCATACTCCAAAACCTAGTAAAAATAAACATAAGAGGTTAAGTTAGAACAGTACTAATAGTACTGTTCTAACTATGCTGATGCTATCTCAGTGCATGTTCATGCACATGCAATTGAGAGAAGTTAGTATGTTCAACTCTCAAGGTGATAAGCTAATTAAAAACTGACACAACTGGACTACAGGGTCAAGTAAGGTCATAGAGAGAGCATCATTATAAATTGACACAACTGGACTACAGGGTCAAGTAAGGTCATAGAGAAAGCATCATTATAAATTGACACAACTGGAATACAGGGTCAAGTAAGGTCATAGAGAAAGCATCATTATAAATTGACACAACTGGACTACAGGGTCAAGTAAGGTCATTGAGATAGCATCATTGAATCAGCAAATGATATACTTACTTTCTTTCTGATTTGTTTTCCTGTTTCTGGATCTCTTTCAGATTTGTCCACTTCTGTCATAAAGTAATCATCCAGACATAGCATTCTTGGGTTACTACTACTCATTTTAGCTTCTCGAACCTAATGAATCAATGCATAGAGTGGTCTTACATGTATTTAACATAAAACAAAGCCATACTTATTCATCAGAAGCAGGGTTTCCCCAGGCCAAATCACCTTCGCAGCCTGTGATGCAGTCTATTACCCCTGCAACGTCTTGTTCCGCGACGGTAAATTGTTTTTACGGGACATGGACCAGCTGTCATGCCAAAACAGTAGCACATGCTCTGCCATTTCCTGTATGACTCTTCAAAGTACACCACACAGACATGTGATTTAGAATGATTTGCTTTTTATATATTCCAAAACCTATATAAGCTGGAAACTATTGGCCTTGTTCTACCAATGAGTACTGCATGTAAGTATACATTATAAACACTATCTGGTAAAGTCCACTGCATGTTGAATACATACACTGTATCCTTTGTGCATTTTAATGAAAAAACTAAATTTTGGAATTGTTTTATTTTTGTTTTTGTTTTACAGATTGTGAAGAGAGAGTTAGGATGAGTGAGAAAATCTTGGAGAATTTATTATTTATAGCTTTGGAACCATGCTGCATATCAAAGACTCGGTATTCTGTAGAAAATGCATCTATGTACATAATGCTAATCAATCTATATCAAATGTGTTTTGTAATAGTGAAACAGTAAATAAAATAAATATTAGCAATACCTGAAAAGAAAACAACGATATTAAAAAATTCTGGAGAAAACACTGCACATACAGAAGCCAATGAAATAGGGCATCTAATTTAGGATATAACATTTACCTTTATCAGCTTGGATACATACGTCTTTCCACTGCCAGGTAATCCTCTTAAAATAATTACGATCTGTTTGGGTCGGTGATTTCTACCAGGTTCATTCAAGATGTTTTCAATAAGTACACTTTCTCCAGTTACAATAGATTCTTCTTGTTTTACAGACGGTGGAGATTCTGCATACGATGTACCACTCATGTGACCATGATCAAAGACCAGTGGGGCAGGAGGATAATCACTACTTGCATCATAGTCTGAATATCTGAAACCATACAAAATCTGCTATTAACATATTCCATAACCTTGAAATCTTACTATACATGACTATGTAAAAACTCAATTTCGCAGAAGTAAATGTAATTGTTTTTTTAATAGTCAAAAGAATAAATTTTGTTTGATTCAATGAAAAGCGATTCATTTTTAGCAAGAATTTCAAGCACACATGATAAAGCTTTATGGAAAGTACACATAACTGTCAAAAATAAGTTGTGACATCTAAGTTATAGGACATTCGAAAAATTAGATAGTCTGGTTTTCCCGCCAAAATAAATAAAAGTTCATTGTTAGATTGAAGTTCATGTTTTGTGGAAAACATTGCTGGTACAATGCAACCTCTGGTTGGAATCACTGGAAATGTATCATGACGCATTAAAAAGTGTGAATTAAAAAATATACAAATTTAAATTTAAAGCCAAGAGTCGTCACCTGTGCATGCGTCACATGGCCAGACCAGGTCATTGTTTACAAACAAGTGTCTACCCATGAGCCTTTGCGTTTTTAGCGCGTGTTTTTATTGTCAGTTAGGACTCAATTCCCGTGAGTGTACACAGGTGACAACCCTCTCGCTTTAAGTTATTCTAGTGAAAATAAAGCAGCTTATTTATAAAACTCTATCATCGTCTATGAATTATTTAAGTTCACACAAATTTACTTTATAATCTCAGAGCAATGATGTATAGCATGGCAGTGATTAATCATTGTCAAAACCTTCATAGTCATAGCAACGATCAAAATATAGGTAAGCCTAATGTCCCAGAATCCT